GGAAAAGAGAGAGATGAAACAACATCACCACTTACATGCAATGAAAAAATGAGTGCTTGCAGTAGCAGTATTTTCTGCATTAGAGAGTGGGAAACAGAAGAAAAATAAAAGGCATATCCATGACTTGAGATTTCTTCAACAATACAATTGATGGATTCGCAAGTAATTCAGAATAATGCGCTCCTGCCAATCCGAGCAGAGTCCAACTTTCATTACCCTTTGTCTCGTATGCGTTTTTTACCTCGAATTAGTTGGTAGGTGAGTATTGTTAAATTACAAATTTTCATTTTTTCCTGCAAAATAATTGACAAAATAATACACATTTTATGACCTATCGAAATTTCAATACAATCGAATATATATACCAATAATTTAAATTACTGTAAAATATTGCTTGGCAAGAAAGAATTTTAGAAAGTTTTATACAGTATTTGAATCCAAACTCGTCCAACTGAGTTGGTAAAAGTTAAGACTGGAACGATTCTTATTTGATTTCCAAATATTGTAAATCAGTTCCACACATCCTTGAATTTCAGAATGAAAACAAAATTCGACAAGGGAGACATGTGGTTTTTTCATCTCTCGCCCTCCAATAATTCTAAACTTTACCCCGCTTTTGCCATGCAAAATAGGGATCAAATATGTTGAGTTATTGTATATTTATTTATTTACATCCTTATTCATAGAAAAAAATACCACTGACTCTTCTTCAGCAGTCAGTACGAGAGACAACTTACACAAAATAATGCAGTCACAGAAAACATGTATCATTTTCATTTTCATATTCATGCATCTCTCTCTCTCCGATCCAATAAGCAGCTTCTTCCGATTCTGCCTGGTTTCTCAACTTCGAGAAGTGGCAGTGTGTGTGTGTGCCTGATATTCTTCTTCATATGATGATGAAGGGCTGTCTCGCTTTTGGTCTGTGCTATTGTCTGTGCAAACAAACAAAGACACACACACACCAAGAACTCTGAGACACAACCACCACACCACACAGATCCATTTCACACTTTTAACCCTTTTTGCCCCATCCATCCGTCCTCCATGCCATGATGCCGTTCTTTCTCTTTCCTCGCCTTTCCATGAGGTTCGAGAGCCTAAAAAGTTGTGCAAGCCCATGTGAATGCAAGTGTAAAGTTTTAGCTGTGAATTTGTAAAGTTTGTTTTGAATTTGGAGTTTCTTTGAAGCCAAAAGAGTAGTGAGTACATAACTTGGCATAACAAAACGCTGTGTCAACAACGTCCTCGTCGTCTTGGTAGGAATAAGAATAAAACGAAATAGCAATTCATGCCAGTTTCTTGCAGAGTGTGAGCAATTCTCTGGGGTTGAATTATTCCAAAAAGTGTTCCATGTGAGGCAAGATTATTCACTAAAATTCTTATCTGGAACATGGAAACACAAGACAATTGGCCAATCCTCCTTGTTAAACTTTTGGTCTGATTTTACAACAATGTTCTAGAATCTTGCGAAACATGTTGTGGAAAGTTGTACTTTGGAAGAGATATATACCTAATTCCAAAAGTTGACGAGTTTCTTATTGGCTGCCAGTATGGTATTAATTGTTTAATCTAATCATGAATGTGTGAATGAGTGTGGGAGGGGCAGAAGGAGGGAGGCTTATTCTTCGTGCTGGGAAGAAGATGGGAAATTGGAGAAGAATAGAGTAGAATGTGTAGAGAATATTCCAACTCTACAGAATTTTCATGGGCTGGTAAACGACGAGAATGAGATTGATTTGCTGAAAAGTGGGTCGTTGACAATAATCAATTTAAGCTCAAGGATAGGAAAATGGAACCTGAAATTAAGAATTCGATGTATGCATGGAAAACCCGGTCTTGAAATATATTCACTTCGTTTTGATGACATTGTAAAAGGGAATGAATTTGTCAGACTCAATCAAACGCACTGCCTCACACTGATCCCGCCCGACTCTGCTGTTCTCTGACTTTGAAACGCCGTCATGGCAGGAAAAGAAAGAACAAACGTCAAAATCGAAACGGTTCAAGTCTTCTGTTTACCCTGAAATGGAGTTGTCTAAACGTATTTCGAAATAAATATGTTCCTTTCGGCCAGTAACCCTACGCCCCATTCGAATATTTCCATTTACCCGAACATTTATGTCACCATGCGTGCATCGCTGCTAAAGACGTGTCCGTAAAGTTGGATTTATTCCTGTAATATTAACACGAAATGGAATTAGCACTACCCGTAAGTTAGAGCCTAAAGAAGATGCATGCATAATTCGGTCCGAACTTAATGCTCAATTTTCTCATTATGCAAATAAATAACAGTTTTCTTTACTCCTTAATCAATTCACCGTGTTGCGGTGTGGTTTGTATATTTGCGAGTTGAGTAGATTGAAACAGGAAAATGATCTGGTCATGAAACTCGTGAAAATGCGCTTAGGGATATTAACGTGTATGTATGTGGATGCATACATCTGTACTGCATTCACAAACAGTGAATAACTGCACTCTTCCCATTCCCATTAAACCAAAACACCATCATCATCAAAAACAAATAATTTTTGGGGGGTATGAACCATCACGAAATTTGAGTCCTGCTTCTCTCTGCATAGTGTGTTGCACTCTTTGGTCGTATTTTCTTCCCGAATGAGATTTTCCATCACACGCATGCATACGAGAGGAGAGAGCGAGAGGTCATTACAAAATGGAGTTGGTTAGATTGTATTGCATAATAACACGCGTATAGGTTTTTATTCCGATGATGATGGTCGGAGCAATGGTCTCATCCTCACAATTGATGGGATTCGCCATGAACAAGCACTTTCATCTCGATACGATATCTATCTGGCAATACTGACTGGATAGACGACCCATCGAGGAATCTTTTAGCCATCCTATTGTTTTTTTCTTCTTCTTCAAAGCACTTTCTTGTCAAAGAATCTGCTTGCTGGAACTTTTTCAATTTTTGGTTGAGCGTGGTCATGTTTTATGAAAAAATACAATAAAATCTGATGACTGATGAAGGGTCATCAGGTCACCTGCAACTACTCATCAATCAAGTGTTTCACAAAGGTTTGAATTTGTCGGAGCTTTTAAGTGTGAAAGGGAAAACTCTGCGCTATAATTACAGTGATTACTCGACACAGAGAAAACACAGCCACACCAGAAATTAACCCATGTGTACGGGTTAATTTTACGTGCATGTGCTAAAAGGAAAAAGACCAAGATTACATATAATAAGGTAATGAAAGTAATGATATATAAATCGAGAGGGGTGTGATAATTTTATTGTTCAAACTTGAACAAAAAAAGAGAGACGCATCTTCATCCTTCACAAGTCGTTCCATCAATTCCATCCACTCCGAACCATTCGCTTTCATAGCAGCAAAAAGAATGATCCCATCAAATCTGTCCGTCGTCGTCGTCTTGAAAATAAATAAGTTTACAATTTTACAGCGTCATCCATCAATCCATCCATCCAGGTCTATTTGCACGTTCCGTTTTTCTTGAACAAACCGAGAGTGTTGTTGACTCTGCTATGTGTTCCTCTTGCCAGGATTGCGATCTCATCTATCTGCCAATGCACTCTTGCGTAATGCAATATCCAAGGTAGTAGGATATGCGGTGCAGCAGAGTGCACGACAACAACGTGAGCAACGATCAACTATTAACGCAATGTGTGAGTATGTATGTACTGCCTGCATTCGGGATGATGCGGTGGATTGGATAACAATAACATGTAGAAATTCTTTGTGCGAGTCGCTCCTCTTGACGTCCCCCTATTTACGTATGCTGCTCGGATGGTAATTAATGTGAGACCAAACACCAACAAATATTTGCATTCAATTCATGACATTAGCCTCCACTGCAGCTACCAGAACTTCTGCTGCTACAACACCGCCTTGAGTACAGAATACATGCTATGACACAAGTATTTGGCAGCGGTTCCATACGTACATTCGTACAATGCCATTACGAGCCTATTATAATAATAATAGTACGAGTCTCGTGCATCAGGTTATGACAAAAATCTTGGAACTCACTCGGGAGGTGGGATGGGCAATACCATGAAACATTAATAATACGTTTGATTACCAGGGAATGGGCAATGAGTAAACAAAATAAGTTTAAGGTACCGCATTTATATTAAATATTCTGAATATTATTCATACATATGTATGCGTGCAGTCATTAAGTCTAGAATTCTCATTGAGTGGTTTTGCATCGCTAGGGATGATACCGATCTTTGTATTATATCGTGAAATCAGATGTGAACTCCGATTTGATCAAACATGTTGCCAATAAGTGTGTATTACCTTTACCATGTTATTTCACACCAAATGAGTAATCCGATTTTAGGAATCCAATGTAATTCAGGTCTCTTTTTCGTAATATCTACAACTATTTCCAAAATGTTGTTGAGACTCGTCCGAGTAAAACTTGTTTTCTGGTATGACTTTGTTCAGGAATCCGTTCAACGTCGAGTTATAGGACCCCGAACGGCCCAAATGTTATGTGTTACATTTATGCTAATGATTATAAATCGAGTGTGTTTTCCTTGCAGTAAAGTTAAAACAGCTCTCATTCCTTCTTCTCCTTCTTCTCCAAGCATACGTATGCATAAGACCTTAACTACTTCCTACCAAATTCCATCAACACTAAGATTGACTCTATGTGTTGCGAATGAAATAAATGTAGCTCACACCGACCGACCCGGTGCGTGCGTGTATGTACCTATTTACTTGAGCAATAAGTTTAACCAGCTCGCCATTTCGCTATACTTACACAAACGTGGGATTTGCATTTTGTAAACTACACAAGAGTCCAATGCAATGTGAGAATGGTCGTCGTTCGTATCGTATCGCAGTTAAAGTAATAGAGCAATGCGATGCAATACATTAGTTTGCTCAGTCTGAGATATAGCTTTATTTTACTGTTCAACTTCTCCTCTCCACAAACAGCCAAAGCAAGTTGCCATTTACTTTACCAACCAACCCAGCAACCAACAAACATTACAGCAGAGCCAGAGGCGTATATATGCGACGGCAGAATGTTGTGTGAATGTGAACCCCTTCATACGAACGCTGCCACCAACAACGCGTCGACTATGTACTTCGGGTGGATGAAGTCTGAGTGGGACCAGAAAGAGAAAAAAGTTTTCGTAAACGCAAAGTTCAGCTAGTTCTTCCTTGGGTCGTGGTCGAGCAACATCGAATCGACTGAGGAATCCGATTCATCTCTCGCGATACAGAATTACGTCGTTTTGTGTAGCACACAAGACATAGAAAAGTGTTGGATATTGATCCTTAAAAAAGGTGCAACTTAATTAGACTCGTCCTCTGAAAGAGGACTCCGCGTCGTCAAAGTGATACGGACAAGAAGGGGATATTTGACTGGAAGGAAAGTTTAATAGAACGCATTACTCACTCGAAACGAGACGACTGATTCATTTCTACAATTAATCAAAGTGTGGAGATATACACACCTCTGGAAAACTTGAGATGGGAGGAAGTTGACAAATTTGCTAAAATACTGTCACCACCGTATCAGGAAAGTTTGTCGATCCTAAATGAACAAAAACTGTGAACATCGACTACTTTAAAAATCAACGAGGAGCAGCAAAGAGTGCAACTTCTCACTTTGTATCACTGAAGGATTGTTTGACAGAACTTCTTTTTTTGGCAGAAGACGGTTCGAGTTTGAGCTCGTTTTTCCATCCCGATTGTTTGCACTCAATTTTTCAATTTGTATTCTAACGAAAAAAATAGGAGATAGTTTGCGGCTGCAACAGGAAGGGAATTGAATTCCAAATGAGAAGGGGACGGATTGTGATTTTACATGTTATTGAGAAACATATACATACATACAGAGAGACATAAAATTAACGATTCGGTTTATTATCATCGTTGGAAAACTGTTATTTATCAGTAAGTGAGGTGATTCTGGATAGTTCAGTGTCTTCCTTTCGTCTCATTTCGTACTTTAAGTGGTTTGTTCCCATCCTGTCTCTGACATCGGGAGAAGAATACGGAGGAGCAAGTACACAGAGTGCTTCGCGAGCAAGATGAAATCTGAATGCTCGCTTCCTTCCGGATGTTTGTGAAGCAAAGGACCACAGAGTAAATAAATCCTTGGCATTTTTTGGATGGAAAACAAATTGCGCACCTTCAGCGCACAACCTTCCATCCAGAGCTACCAGAATAAGAAGGCGTTCTACGACGAGACAACAACAAAGGAACGGAAGCCAATTCATACATATTATTGGGGTGGCCTGTACATACAATCAGCAGGATCCGCTGCATCGATTATTGAACGAAAAGGGTGATGATGACCTAAGAATTATTCTCGCTGTATGTTCGCAGAAAAAAAAACTCGGTGGTAGAAAAAAAATTCTACAAAAGTCCCCACAATTTGACCGACTTTTTTTCCATTAACAGAAGCACACCTATAATAAGCGACTGGAGTTGAGTTATTGGTTTCCCAACGCTCGCTTTAACATGGGACGTGAAGAATGAGTTTTTTGGGACTATTTATTACAGCCATTAATTGATTTTGATCTGGATAACTTGATCCAACTAGGAAAATAAAATGAGATAAATTAAAGTAAAATCAAGAAACAAGGAACAAATCTAAAATTCTATAAAATACAAACATTCCACACATTTGGTCGCTGGTTGGAGAAAATTGTTGCTCGCACTTATCAAGGAAAAGATCGAGGTTAACGGGAAAAAATGTGTTCCAGAAACTTTAATGCTCCTGGGTCGCCTTTCTATGAGGCTGGTGGCGACGGACCTACTTCGTCTTCCAATAAATACCGGTAAATTGTTTACTTTTCTTCAGATTTGCTCTGTTTATTTCCGCTCCTACTGTGTGTGTATATTCGAAGGGGGACGGAAGTAGGTTATAGCTACTGACGGTGGTAAATGGAGGTTGGTTTAAGTCGCATATTTTTTAGTTTCACCCAGGTTAGTCCAGCTTATTGGGGCCATTTTGTGTGCCTCATACTATGTTTACGTGCACACATTTTCCCACTTTTCTTTTGCTGGTGGCTATTTATTGACAAATCATATTATTTGACACAGATACGAATAACGAGTTTTAAAAATTGGATGGATGATATGTTCCCATCTTCAAAGTCTAATCATCCTGAGTAGCAGTAACAGCAACAAGTTTGGTGTGTATGTACTAGGATCATCATGATGATATAAAATCTGTTCTTGAAAGATTGATGATTAAGGAAATGGAAGATTCCGTCCCGGTATTGATGAACAACGTGAAAATCCTGTCACCTCTGGCAAAATTGTAATTAACAAAAATGACGGATATATCATTAGTACTGTTAGTTGGTCAAATTGGTTTGTTATACGAAATAACGTGAGCATGATGTTCCCAAGTTTCGGTATTTCTAGCAGATATTCAATCAAAGTGACAATTTGAGGTCACAGCCCAATTGATCCAAGTTATTATTATTATTACTACTACGACTCCTCCACAAATATAGATAAAAGAGATCCAATTTCCTCATCAGGAACAAATTTTAGTGTCATCCTGGCTAAAAACATAATTGCCGACATCGTCGACGTAATAAAAATGAGCATCAAGTCTAACGTCGCAATTGCAAAGTTTGATGAATCCATTAATACCTACATATGAAATGTTATTACGTGTGTATTTATCTATCTATCTACATATCTATATGCAATACCTTCTCGCCCACACCGTCATCGACAATAGGTCATTACACACTTGTTAACTTTCAATTTTATCGTCATTGTTACATTTTATAGTTCCTCCCATTGCATTGTTATTGTCCCCCTGTTGATGAGATGTGGAGATTTACAACTAAAATAAAACTGTACAGAAATAAACGCTAAAAACTTTGCCATACTTGGAGATTGACGTTTTTTCCATAAAATTATGAAGTCGGTCGTTATTAATTACCTATAAAAAAACCTTGCGTCATATATTAACGTCAAACTCTATTAGCATATTTATACCGGGTCAAATTTTAAGTTTTAAATATGGGATCGAATGACGTTCTAATTTACGTATTGTTTAATTATTAATGTACAAGTTTTTCCTAGATTTGCAGGCATATATTTACGTGAAAACTGTCACACACTTGACACATAAAAAGACAATAATTATGGAACAAAGCCGAATTTGGGTTTTGAGAGAATGTGCGAAATGAGAAAGTGAAACAATATGTAAGGAAGACAAATATTTAATGTTTAGCTGCTCGACAATGTCACACGGTCACACGAACCCATAATTTGTTTCTCTGAAAGCTGCCTTCCTTTTGTCATGTGCTCAACAATAGGGCACCAATTGTCTTAATGAAGAGATAAAATCAGCGCAGTCTGTTTACACACTGAAATTCACCTTTCTTAATTGTCCATTCGTTAATTTGTGTTTACATTACGCTTCAATTAAAATGTTTACAAATTGCAATATTGACTCATTAGCATTCTTCGAATCACCAAGTTTGCTTGTTTTGCAAGTAAAAATTATAAAAACAAATCTGATAAAACAGGTTGCAGGTCGGCATTAACAATCAAAATCCCTTTTCATTAACAAACCGTATGAATCATATTGCTTCAACTTCAATCAATTACAAATCTCATATCAACAACATTTCCTTCAGAAAAATAATACCCTGAGAGATTTATTGTCGACTTCAAACATTCTTTTATCAGGGATCAATTACATAATAAATTTTGTTGAAGCTTATTCAATTCCTGCTTCGTGGAAAATTTCTTTAACAAATTGAGATAAAACTGTTGAATAATATGTTTAAACCTCTCAATATACTGTTACATCATTTTACGTATTTTGTGAACAAATCCAAATTTGTTTCACTACTCCATGTGTCAAAGTGTTCTTCCAACCACCCACGCACCAAGCTATGCTGTAAATACTCGCACATTTAATTATTGCAACCACGGAACGAAACAGTGAAAAAGAAACCTGACTGCGTACCTTATTTTTAAATAATTTATTTTGTCTGGAATTTTAGTGTGCTGTGTCACACACTGTGCGCGAGGATGATGCACCCGTCTCATAATCGTCTCGTGTTTAAATTTACATTATTATTTACCTCAATTTCATTGTTGCTTGATGTTAAGTATGGTTGTGCATTTGCACGTTCACAATACCGTGTTCACAGACATCGTGCCACCCACCCACACAGTGAAACCTAAGGTATCACGGTAAAGTGTCTTGTGTGCGTTTATTTTTTCTCACATTGTCCTGTCAAATGTTCCTTTCTCTTAACCCACGCCTACTCCTTTTAGTTTTTTTGGGGGGTATTTATAGTGGAGACAATTCAGGCAAAAAAAAGAAACAAAAAAGTGTGGCTGCTTTAAGGATTATCGTTTTGCATACAATTAAAGCTCATGGTCAATTTACAATTTTGTCAAAATGAATAGACACAATGGCGACTAAAGCTTTTCAAACAATAATCAATTTAGGACTTGTGAGACCGCTGTAACGCTAACCAAGAACCAAGAAGCATGCTTAGCAAGTAAACTTTTGTAAAGGTGCAAAATCTGGTGGGATTAAAATCTTAAATGTCATTCTTTTAATACTCCTCGTGGTGGTTTTTACTCCCAGTATTGAAATTGAATTGCGATCGAGTCCAAAAATGAGAATATATATTTATATACTTACAAATGAGACCTGAATTGACCATGACCGAGCATTATTTCTTTGGTTGAAAATGACCACAATCCAAAATAGGCAAATGTCACGGGTTAAGTCGAGCATGGAAGGATTAAGTGGATTAGGATTGAATATAATGATCGCTGCGCATTGTGGGCCTTGTTCAGGTTTTGATTTCAAATTTGTCCCAGTCCCAGATTTGGTCTGAGTTGGTGTAGATAACAATGGAACAGCTAACGACAAAGTTGCATGCAGTCGCATGAATGTGCAAGCGTCCGTTGTTGGTGACAATAATTCTGTAAACCTATAAACTGTGGTTCATAAATTTATAAAAATTTGTAACAAAAAATTTGTAAAATGACTTTATACTTTCTCTTCTAAATAGTTCCAATAATTTTTCGGCCTTATTAAACTTTTCAACAAGTCTACTTATTATTGTGATGATCTCCATTTTTCTCCGTTACAAAACTCGACACTCGTACAAAAGCTAGATTTGCCTAATCTCCTTTGAGATACGAGTGTGAATATAATATGCAATTGGCTCACTAAAGGATGCAAATTATTAATTACAATGCAAAATAGCCTTTAACACTTCCTCCTCCACTCTAAATTCTGATCCATCCGCAATCCCAATCTCACGCATATTATTATGCTCGTCATCCTCGAATAGCAAATAACAACACAACAACCATCCATCCATCCTTCCATTATTATCGCTACTTACAATGCTACTTAACTTGGCTGACTTTGTGCACGAAATAGAAATTCATTTACCAAGTTAAGCTGCACTCGAGTGTGCTATGTATTTGTGTACTTGTTATACAGTGAATAATTTAGACTGAAGGCACACAATTACCACCAGCCACTAATGAACTGAAGCTGAGTTGCAACCAGAACTAAAGCTTTTGATAGGAAGTAACACATTTCCACGACGACTGCTAATACTCACAGTGAGTCATGTCATTACTATAGTTTAGTCATCTACTTATTATTATTGCTATTCAACCTTTCGCTTTGTTTCACGACTTGAACAACGCAGGCTAATTGTTATTGTTGCCGGTGTTATCTTGTTGCATGCATCTGTTCAGTGGACTTATTTCGAAAATCGTGTAACTCATCCTTTACGGCGTCTGGTCGCAGCACAAACCCAGTTTCCAATCTGCGTGTGCATGCAGATTATTATTATACGAATCAGAACTTGTGAAAGTTCAATTTGTTATTTTACCAAATTACGAGTTTATCTCTGGTTTAGTCATAAGTGTTTTTTGTCTGGTGCACGAAAATTAATTCGTTTTTTGTACTCATTATTATGAAATGATTGAGGGTTTGGTAAGATGGCAAATTGACGTTGGAGTAGGAGTGTGGTGGCAGAGAGAAATGCAATCTATTTTACGTTTGTTATTTTGAATAGATGATGCGAAAATGATTGTAGCGTTACGCTTTGGATTAAATGTGCATTAAACTTTACTCCACTACTGGTGCAGCAGCAGTCATTATTGCGCAATGGCCACGGAAAGAAAGACAGAAATGAAAAACTCGTTCAAATCATTGTGTGTTGCAACCAAATGAACGCAAAGTCGGTTTATTTACAATTGGGCACTGTTTGCTCTTTCTACCGTGCATAATGACATGAGCATTAACTGTGAGGACACATCAGCAGCAGCATCATAATGACTGGCATCTGGTTCCCTCCTGCTTTTATTTTTTATTTCTATGTATGTACGAATATATGTGCATTTGTATGTGTGTACGCGACCAATAATACAAACAGAACATTATTTCAACACAACTTATGATTTGTATTGCTTATCGCAACCAAATAGACAACTGTCAAAATTATTATAATAATAACCTGCATTCAAACAACTACTTGTGTGTGACAACGATGCACCATTATGGATTTGATAACCACCGCATAAACGGTTACCATACACAGTATGACTCAGTCTTGTGCATTGTGCTCAAACATTAAGAGAGATAAGAACTGCAATTTAAAACATTTTTTATCTTCAGCATACTTAAAAATACTTATGTACAGGTTAAACTCCTAAATCGAACTACATTTTTCAGGAAGTTATGAAAAAAATTATAGTTGACATCAACGAGTTGATTGTTAATTTCCTCAGAGCTTAAAAATTGGCTTCGGTTTTTACTTGT